AGACCTTGCTGAATCAATTGGAGTTTAATAATCGACCCAGCCCCAACCTTCTTTTCCATAATCCATCTATGAGGATGTTGGTCATGACCCATTAACAAACATAGCATCGATTCCTATTGAGTTCCGTTCATTGAATCACCCACAAAGACTACTCCATTCCCTCTGATCAATACCAGCATTTTTGTTGCATTGAACCTAAGAAAAATAACAACCTTCTCTCTCTCTTCTTTCTTCTTTTCTCTTTAATTTCAATGGCATCAGATTGAACACCTCTATTTAGGTACCCCTCTCTCTCCTCTCAATCTAGCTTGGTAGAACTATTGTGTATGCCTCTCTGTGTTTGTATTTAATGTTTCAACTGTTAAACCCAAATGAGTTTAACTGAAATGCTTGGGTAAATCACTAAGTGGGGTTAATTGGCTCAAATTCTAAGCATCTCATATTAGCCAATTGAACCATTACTACACTCTTTGACATGTTGAGTTCAACTTCAGGCAATTGAGTATAGCACCTTAGCACCTTAAAAAAAAAAAGAAAAGAAAAGAGTGTAGTAATGGGTTAGTCATGTACAATTGCCTGAAGTTGAAGAAGGCCACCGATAGGTTAGTCATGTACAATGAAAACCTATAGATATAACCATAAGGAAGGTGGATGTGATCACCACATATGAAATTGAATGCGATAATAAAAAAAAAGATATGAATTTGTTTAATCTAATTGAGAATATAGCCTTTGACAAAGAAAAATGACGAAAAAATATTCAAATACCCCACTTGATTGAGAAATAAGGCTTAATTGGGTTTGGTTTGGTTCGGTTTGATTTAGAAGAAAAGCAAAACCTATCATGATATAAGATTGGTGACTGACAGTGATACATAATTTTGACTATCAACAGCACACTGAGTTTGTTCTATGTGATGTGTGCATTTATTCAAAACTTAGTGAAGTTAATGCCTCTCATCAGTTTCATTAGCAGACAAATTAGTTGGTTTATTTAGGCATCATTTGTCACAGGGTTTTGGAAGAAAAATTCCCTGCTTCTGAAAGCAAGATTGGGCTTATTTTTGTTATAGGAGTTCACACACATTGCACATGTCCTACTCAGTGTTTCAAGCAATTTATGTATTTCTTAATTTATTAATATCCATATCTCATGCAGTATAGAAGAAAGGTATGGTAACCAAAAGGAGCGTTACACGTTTCAGCATAAAATGCCAAGAAAATCTTGATAATAGGAGGGACTCAGTTTATTGGTGTGTTTTTGTCAAGACTTCTTGTAAAAGAAGGCCACCGGGTATGAATCCTTCTCTTTACATTTTAATATTTATATGTACTAATTTTCTTTTCCCAATTGTTTTAACTTTCTTAACAATCTTTTCCACCGTATGGTGTGCAATTAAAGTTGGGTTGACAAATTACTACACAGATTTATATTTGATGACGTCTTTAACTTTTTAATAAACAAGTTTTATATCATAATGCAGGTGACTCTGTTCACAAGGAGAAAAGCTCCCATCACCCAACAATTGCCTGGTGAATCAAAGAAGGATTATGTTGATTTTTCTTCCAAGGTTATTAATTATGACATATACACTGGAAAATTCTATTGGCCTTTTTGATCAGTTTCATATTTTTCTTTATTGATGAATGAAATATTGTATTCTAAGTGTAGATCTTGCACTTGAAAGGAGACGGGAAGAATTTTGAATTCGTGAAAGCTAGTCTCTCAGCCGAAGGCTTTGATGTTGTTTATGATATTAATGGTATGCATTGCAATAAATTTTTGCTCCTTATGCAATCCACACAATGTGTCCTATCTATGTGTTTATTTTAGACTTGTTAATTATGTTCTAGTTTTTGTTATAAAATTTGGAGTGTTTATATTGTTTTAATTGTTCTAGTTAATTACTTTGATAGCCTTCTTAATATTATATATGGAGTTTATGTTACATTAATTAGGTATTGTCATTCTTGTCTTGTTCATCATTTATGGCCAGCCTTTTACCTTTTAATCTTAGAAAAGTAAATTGCTAAAGTTAAAATTTGTGTGTGATAATTCTTTCAGAATATGGCTTGCGACACATTCTTGAAAATTGTTAAAAAATGCAAACGTAAATTTGTTATTTTACAGGTAACATTATTTTAATCTTGTTGGTCAAATGTCAATTTTCCATATTGGATATAACTTTGAATGTGTCTTGCTTTTCTTCTATTGTTTTCAGCTTGGAGAAAGCAAACCATTTGTATCTGAGCTTCCAACTGCAGAAGTTGTATAAGAAATGAAAATATCCTTGATAATAGATCTTGAGTACATACACAATAACAAAAAACACATTTGGCGACCCAAAAATTTGTCGCCAAAAGTATAAATTTCGTCGCTAAAAGAATCGATGACAAAGTATACAATTGGTCGCCAAAGCCCTGTCACTAAAAGTATTGGCGACGAAATCAGAAATTGTCACCGTATATAGACATTTAGCGACAAGCAAAATTGGTCGCCAAAAATCATATATTTTGTCGCTATAAAATTACAATTTGTTGCTAAAAGGTTAAAATTTGGATAGGCTATGTAGTTTTAGCGACAAATATATGCGTCGCCGAAAGTACTATTTAATGACAAAATTAATTTGGTCGCTAAAAATCACGTTTTTAGCGACGAAAGTTGGTTGCTAAAAGTTTTTAGAATAACCACTAACTTTTAGCGACAAAAACAATATGCTGTCGCCAAATATATTAACAGCGACAAAAACACCACCTGTCACTAAAAATTCACTACACAAATTTTGATTTTAATAATTTTCCTGTTCAAAATAATCCAAAACACCTGTTTTCCTGTGCACAATATATACACAAATATAATGTAAATAATAATACACCTGTGCAAGACATTCATACTAATTCAAAATTAATAGCTATGAAAAATCTCAATAAACATAATTATAATTCTCTGACAATCTAAAACATGCATACCAAAGTACTTACAAACTACTAACATCAAACCCATAAATACATTGCCAAATCCTATGTCAAAATATTTTCAAAAACACAAAACTAAATATTTTGATGCTAAACATCTAATCTATAAATCATTTACCAAAATCCTATGTCAAAATATTTCCAAAAACACAAAATCAAATCTTCTGATGCAGCCCGAACTGTTTTCCACCACTGCCAATCTGTCACATGAAAAAAGAAAAAACAATATTAGACTGAAAAAAAAAAAAAAAAAATCGATATGAATTTCACAATTTTGATTTTAATTTTGTAACGGGAAGTCCAGTTGGGTGCTGCTTGCTCATACAAGTCTATTTAGGCTTGAACAAGTTGCCCGTGCCAAGTTTCGGTGGTTTCAGTGGTTATTTTGCAATTTCGGCCCCCGAACGGGTCTTTTAAGTCTTGTGTTTTACATTTTTTCTTGTAATTTTCTAACTGGAAATCCAATCGAGGTCCCATTTGTTCCTACAAGTCTATTTAAGTTTGAACAAGCTGTCTATGCCAAGTTTTGGTGGTTTCGGTGGTCATTTCGCAATTTCAACTCTCGAACACGCCTTTTAAGTTTGTGTTTTACAATTTTCCTTCTAATTTTCTAACAAGAGATTCAATAGAGGTCCCGTTTGTTCCTACAAGTCTATTTAGGCTTCAAAAGGCTTTCTGTGCCAAGTTTCGGTGGTCATTTCGAAATTTTGGCCCTCGAACGGGCATTTTAAGTCTTGTGTTTTACATTTTTTCTTGTAATTTTCTAACCGGAAATCCAATCGAGGTCCCGTTTGTTCCTACAAGTCTATTTAGTTTTGAACAAGCTGATCGTGCCAAGTTTCGGTGGTTTCGGTGGTCATTTCGTAATTTTGGTCCCCGAACGAGACTTTTAAGTCTTGTGTTTTACAATTTTCTTTCTAATTTTCTAACCGGGGATCCAATCAAGGTCCCGTTTGTTCCTACAAGTCCATTTAGGCTTGAACAAGCTGTCCATGCCAAGTTTCGGTGGTTTCAGTGGTCATTTTGCAATTTCGGCCCCTGAACGGGCATTTTAAGTCTGGTGTTTTACAATTTTCCTTCTAATTTTCTAACCGGAGATCCAATCAAGGTCCCGTTTGTACCTACAAGTCTATATAGGCTTGAACAAGCTGTCTGTGCCAAGTTTCGATGGTTATTTCGCAATTTTGGCCCCCGAACGGGCATTTTAAGTCTTGTGTTTTACAATTTTCCTTCTAATTTTCTAACTGGGGACCCAATCGAGGTCCCATTTGTCCCTACAAGTCTATTTAGGCTTGAAAAAGCTGTCCGTGCCAAGTCTCGGTAGTTTCAGTGGTCATTTTGCAATTTCGGCCCCCGAATGAGCCTTTTTAGTCTTGTGTTTTACAATTTTCCTTCTAATTTTCTAACCGGAGATCCAATAGAGGTCCCGTTTGTTCCTACAAGTCTGTTTAGGCTTGAAAAAGCTGTCCGTGCCAAGTTTCGGTGGTCATTTCGCAATTTCGGCCCCCGAACGGGCCTTTTTAGTCATGTGTTTTACAACTTTCCTTCTAATTTTCTAATCGGAGATCTAATACATGTCCCGTTATTTCCTACAAGTCTATTTAGGCTTCAAAAGGCTGTCCGTGCCAAGTTTCGGTGGTTTCGGTGGTCATTTCAAAATTTCGGCCCCTGAACGGGCATTTTAAGTCTTGTGTTTTACAATTTTCCTTCTAATTTTCTAACCGGAGATCCAATCGAGGTCCCGTTTGTTCCTACAAGTCTATTTACTAACATTGCAGCACAACCTTACTATGATTAAAACAAGTGATTAAAATATGAGATTTCTCATATATAGTTCTAGAGAATACCAATATCTACATAGATCCTCTTTGCTGCAGCCTTGATCTGTTATGTAGATGGAAAAAAGATAACAAGAAAAGGCAATAGTTGGTCAAGTTTTTGTATAATAAGAATATGAAAGTGAAGCTAAGTTTCAAACTACCTAATTAAAAAGTGAAGCTAAGAGGCATGTCAACCGAAGTTGAGTTCAACCATCCATACCTTGAGTTCAAAAGTTTCTTTAGAAACTATAGATGGAAAAATGTTAAGAGGCATGTCAACCAAAGTTGTTAACCCACCTAGGGCAAACAAAAAAATGAAGATAGCAGTTAAGAGACATAGCTTGAAGAAGAAAATTCTGCAGGTGAGGAAATGAGTAAAGTTCAACTTTGAGTGAGTATTTTTAATGCTGACGGATCCTCTTGCAGAGCTTTTATGAACTATTACAACAAAACATAAATAATAAACTAAATTTTATTTTTATTTTTACGATTAATTATAACTTCAAAGAAGCATTTCTTACCCTTGACATTAAAGCAAAATCAAGTAAAATTAGAGTATCTTCACAAAAGAAACCAAGACACCACACAGCAAATACCATAAATTATATCAGGAAGTGGAACCAAAACCATAAGGACAATAATATGCAAAAAGTCACAAGTAAGCTGAACTGATAAAACAGAAAACCAGTAAGAAAAAGAACAATTTGCAACCCAAGCATCACATCTTTATAGTTATATTTGTTTTACTAACACAAAGATACGAGAGAAAACAACAAATGAAGCTTCAGGTGCATTTGTGCTAATGCCAAATACTAATGCACCCAAAGAAGGCTTCAAAATAATTTGGAAGGCATACAACATGCAGTGGAATTCAAAAGAAAAATTACAAGTCAACAGGATAAATGTTAAATAAGACCTGGAAGAAGGTAATGAAGATAGAAGTGGAGCTGAATGAAAGGAAAGTATATCTAATATTCAAATAAATAATACTACAAAGGGGGAATAGCCAATAAGAAAGTGCACAGGATCTGCCACATTCTGGTTTTAAGAAACTTACATTCAGATTCTTCCTCACTTTCATCATCACTCTCAACTTCCCATTCAGTAGATACAGCGTCAGAATCTGCTGCATTGATGAAACTGAAACTAGTAAAAAAATTAAATACAAACAATGACAGAGGTTAGGACACAAGCACAAACAAAGACAGGATACAACATGTGACACGCCAACATGGATATTTCATAAAATGCAAGACATGAGACCAAATACCTTAGTAGCTCACATGGAGTCTCTTGCCATAGAGAATAAGAAATTGGTTAGCATCGCTGTCAACCAATGAACTTGAAAGAGCACATCCTATCCATTAAGAATGCCATTTTTAAATACCAAATGAAATCCAACAAGAAATAGATTCATATCAAATAGTGTTACAAATATCTAGATGCATAAGAGTCAAAAAAAGAGCTCATCTCTAGTAGATATCGTGCCCGTCTGTAATAACCTAAAACCTGCCCATATCTTATTTACCTCCTGCACACATTAAACTAACATTTATATCTCAAGATTGTTGACACAGATTTAATCAATCAATCAACCAAACAGAGGAAGAAACGCAAACAGGACAGCAAAAGGCCTCATTTTAAAAGACAACAGATCCAAAGATCAAAAATCTGAAGAGGCCATGTCACAAACAGATCTGGGTAACCCATTTTTGGGCCCCACAAAAATGGATGAGCCAGATCTATTCAACACTTACAAGAGCTAAGTACAAACAAAACAAGTCCAAAATCCAAAATCCCTCTCTGAGACCTTGCCACAAACAAGTCCAGTGCATAACCAGAAACTTGTCAAAGCCGCAACAACACAAAAGCTATGATGCTTGGATCATGAAACAAACACAAACCCGCTTATCCTGAGCCTGATGCCTATAACCAACATCGCATTATAGTAAAAATAAAAAAATAAAAAAAAAATCAAGGATTCTAATGTTCTTCCTTCAAGACAAAAAGGAATATTCTGAATGTAAAGAAAACAATTAATTATATCAAGCAAAGCTTGTTTGAAACAATAATACCCATCATAGAAACAAATGCAGGGTACTTACAAGGCCCTTGTTCCTTCCACAGTTAATAAGTTCTCGGGAAAGATGACTTGTATCACAATGAGCAGAGAAGTTGACAACTTCCCACCGTTCTATTTGGATGGGGGTGAAGAGTTGCTTTAAAAGAATAAAACAAGAACAAGTAACTGCCAAATTAGTTCACAAAGTTCCTAAATTTAAGCAAAATAGGGAATGTAAAAGAATTATCAATTTCTGCAACCCTCCACCTAAAGTTGAAACACTTCTCTTCCATTATTATAACGAAACCAAGGGAATACCTTGTTAAAATTCCATTGTCCATTACGAGGTATGCAATCTTTGCCATTACCAACCTTCAACTACAAGATCAAACCCCAAGCCAAACACCACAAATAAAAACAACCAAAGGCTATCAGCAGCCACACCCAGATTCAGAGCATCACAGCCATCTGCAATATTTGTGTCTACTCTTTGCTGCTGAAAATAGTTTAGTTATTCAAATAAATAATAATAATAATAATAATAATAATAAAAATAAAATGATAGTGTCTAGTGTTTACTCCATCTAATAGAATTATAATTTTGCCCATGTACTAATTAAAAGTAAAAACTAATTAATGCCTAAGATACATAGGTAGATACATAGGTAGATACATAGGTGAAATAACCAAACCATCTATGAGAATATAAAATATTGTCAAAAAGTATTAACACCATCACCTGAGGATTTCCATTCATACAATACTCATGCATTATCTATTTTGTCCACTCCCCTTTTGGTGCACGACCTGTGTGGAACACCAGTGTCCTTTTTGTGCCAATCAAATTAGATCCTAACTTCACATTTCGTTCTTTCCCAGTGGCTTTCCAATAGCCAGATTCAGTTGCTCTCTTACTTTGTGAGCCATTTGGGTACTTCCTTCCACGAGAAGAAAAGAAGAACCATTCATTCTCTGAAGGAATGACTGATTTAGCTGGCAATATATAAAAATCACTAACCATCCTCTGTTCACAATAAATAGGACTTTATAATCTTCAAACACAAAATAATGTATTAAAGCATGTGGACCACAAAATAAATACAAACAATGGCACTTAATACCCATAAAATAGTGAAAGTAAGGCATAATATCCAGAAGCCAATGCATAATTACTTCTATAAAAATATCATTTTGTCCTATAGAAAGCATACCACATGGGACACCTATAGATATAATGAAAATTCCAAGTCAATGTCATCATAAATAATTCTTATTAATATAAGTTGTAAAAGTGCATATTAGTATAAGTCTTATTAATATTAGTTCTCAAGTGTACTGCTTCACATTACTCACTGAAACCAAACTAGGGCAGGGGATGCCCTTCAAACTAACATAAGAAAAAAATGAAAGTATAGACAATAGCTAGATACATAGGTGAAATAACCAAACCATTCACCAAAATCCCAAGAATGGTGAGAGAGGTAACGGTCTACTAAGAAGAACAAAAAAAAACAGAGTTCTAACTTTTTCTAAGAATGGTGAAGATCTTCCAAGTTCCAATCTAGAAAAAAAGGGGGAAAAACTTAGGGTTTTGGTTCGGGACCTTGAAATCGTCATGAGAGAGAGAGAGAATTATAGGTAAATAAATCTAATCAATAAGACCGGCTGTGAGTCCCCTACTTTCAAACTATCCATCCACGCTTCATAGGTCTATGGATCTTAACTTTTCTTTTTGGTCAACAAATCCTAGATCCAAACACAGCATAAATGAATTCCGAACTTAAAGTTGTGAATTTGCTATTTAGTGATGAAAAGAATTATCCATCAACAAGGCACAATACAAAGGTTTGGCAGGAGTAATAAAAAAGGGTACCTTATCTACCGAAATCAATGTATAAATATGAACTTCCTCAGCAATTACAAACATGGTTGAATAATTTCTAGTAGAATAAGAAAATTTGCAGAAATTACCTGTACCACCACCCATCATCTGATGAACTGTGGTTTGTCGACCGATCAATCGGAACTGTGAGGCGCCAGATGTTGAAGAAGTGGAACAAGAATTGTTCCTTCCATCTCCATCAACCTCTTCATCACAGAGATCTTGTGTATTATCCATCTAATTCACTGCAAAACCACACTACACCCAACAATCAAACCACTAGTTTTTGAAGCATTGCCGTTTGGTGATGATGACCAGGCCTTGCTGAATCAATTGGAGTTTAATAATCGACCCAGCCCCAACCTTCTTTTCCATACTCCATCTATGAGGATGTTGGTCATGACCTATTAACAAACATAGCATCGATTCCTATTGAGTTCCGTTCATTGAATCACCCACAAAGACTACTCCATTCCCTCTGATCAATACCAGCATTTTTGTTGCATTGAACCTAAGAAAAATAACAACCTTCTCTCTCTCTTCTTTCTTCTTCTCTCTCTAATTTCAATGGCATCAGATTGAACACCTCTATTCAGGTACCTCTCTCTCTCCTCCCAATCTAGTTTGGTAGAACTATTGTGTATGCCTCTCTGTGTTTTTATTTAATGTTTCAACTGTTGAACCCAAATGAGTTTAACTGAAATGCTTGGGTAAATCACTAAGTGGGGTTAATTGGCTCAAATTCTAAGCATCTCATATTAGCCAATTGAACCATTACTACACTCTTTGACATGTTGAGTTCAACTTCAGGCAATTGAGTATAGCACCTTAGCACCTTAAAAAAGAAAAGAAAATAAAATAAAAAGACACTAAAATTAACATAATAGGACCGATGGGTTAGTCATGTACAATGAAAACCTATAGATGTAACCATAAGGAAGGTGGATGTGATCACCACATATGAAATTGAATGCGATAATAATAAAAAAAGATATGAATTTGTTTAATCTAATTGAGAATATAGCCTTTGACAAAGAAAAATGACGAAAAAATATGCAAATACCCCACTTGATTGAGAAATAAGGCTTAATTGGGTTTGGTTTGGTTTGGTTTGGTTTAGAAGAAAAGCAAAACCTATCATGATATAAGATTGGTGACTGACAGTGATACATAATTTTGACTATCAAGAGCACACTGAGTTTGTTCTATGTGATGTGTGCATTTATTCAAAACTTAATGAAGTCAATGCCTCTCATCAGTTTCATTAGCAGACAAATTAGTTGGTTTATTTAGGCATCATTTGTCACAGGGTTTTGGAAGAAAAATTTCCTGCTTCTGAAAGCAAGATCGGGCTTATTTTTGTTATAGGAGTTCACACACACTGCACATATCCTACTCAATGTTTCAAGCAATTTATGTATTTCTTAATTTATTAATATCTATATCTCATGCAGTATAGAAGAAATGTATGGCAACCAAAAGGAGCGTTACACGTTTCAGCATAAAGTGCCAAGAAAATCTTGATAATGGGAGGGACTCAGTTTATTGGTGTGTTTTTGTCAAGACTTCTTGTAAAAGAAGGCCACCATGTATGAACCCTTCTCTTTACATTTTAATATTTATATGTACTAATTTTCTTTTCCCAATTGTTTTAACTTTCTTAACAATCTTTTCCACCTTATGGTGTGCAATTAAAGGTGGGTTGACAAATTACTACACAGATTTATATTTGATGAAGTCTTTGACTTTTTAATAAATAAGTTTTATATCATAATGCAGGTGACTCTGTTCACAATGGGAAAAGCTCCCATCACCCAACAATTGCCTGGTGAATCAGAGAAGGATTATGCTGATTTTTCTTCCAAGGTTAGTAATTATGACATATACACTGGAAAATTCTATTGGCCTTTTTGATCAGTTTCATATTTTTCTTTGTTGATGAATGAAATATTGTATTCTAAGTGTAGATCTTGCACTTGAAAGGAGACGGGAAGAATTTTGAATTCATGAAAGCCAGTCTCTCAGCCGAAGGCTTTGATGTTGTTTATGATATTAATGGTATGCGTTGCAATAACTTTTTGCTCCTTATGCAATCTACACAATGTGTCCTATCTATGTGTTTATTTTAGACTTGTTAATTATGTTCTAGTTTTTGTTATAAAATTTGGAGTGTTTATATTGCTTTAATTGTTCTAGTTAATTACTTTGATAGCCTTCTTAATATTATATATGGAGTTTGTGTTACATTAATTGGGTATTGTCATTCCTATCTAGTTCATCATTTATGGCCAGCCTTTTACCTTTTAATCTTAGAAAAGTAAATTGCTAAAGTTAAAATTTGTGTGTTATAATTCTTTCAGAATATGGCTTGCGACACATTCTTGAAAATTGTTCAAAAATGTAAATGTAAATTTGTTATTTTACAGGTAACATTATTTTAATCTTGTTGGTCAAATGTCAATTTTCCTTATTGGATATAACTTTGAATGTGTCTTGCTTTTCTTCTATTGTTTCCAACTTAGAGAAAACAACCCATTTGTATCTGAGCTTCTAACTGCAGAAGTTGTATAAGAAATGAAAATATCCTTGATAATAGATCTTGAGTATATAGTTTTATATTTATACAATATTAGAGTTTTTTTATGTAGCTATACTATATCTAACTATGTAACTGAAAGTAGTTCTAACAGACTTGATACAACTGAGCTTAATATCTAATGAATTACAATGGTTGAGCCTCGCCTATTTGTTCTACTTGTGTAGTTGATATTATCTCATCAGGTCCCCCGCAAGCGAAGAGGGGAGGCACGAACCATGAGCTTGTGCTGAAGGTAAGCAAAGCGAGCAAAAGAAAGAGTCTTAGTGAAGATATTAGCAAGTTGGTTAGAAAAGCCAACATGTTTGACAACAAGTTTCTTGGATACAACCTGTTCACGCACATAATGATAATCCACATTAATATGTTTTGTGCAGGCATGGAAAACAGGGTTCGAGGCCAAGCTAATAGCAGAAACATTATCACACCAAAGCGTAGGCACACCAGAAAGAAGATGTAATTCAGTAAGGAGCGTCTGAAGCCAAGTTAGTTCAGAGGTAGCCTGAGCGAGAGCCCTGTATTCGGCTTCAGTGGAGGAACGAGAGACAATACTCTACTTCTTAGCAACCCAAGTAAACTTGCTAAACTCATCCACAAACAGAACATAGTATCTAATGAATTACAATGCTTGAGTCTCGTCTGTTTGTTCTGCTTGTGTAGCTGATATTATCTCATCACTAACAAGCCTTCCTACAATTATAGCTGATCTTGAGCCCTATCAGATTCATTCATTTTATGAATCAGTATGTTTGTTTGATTTTTTGATAAATAGTATCTTTATCTACTGCCCTAATATTAGACTGTATAAAGGGTGGTTGTGAAGTAACAATTGTTGTTCTACTATTTTAGGTCAGCAATATGATTCAAGCAGAATCTGATCCTTAGAAGAGGGATGAATATTTGAAGAGGCTGATGGAGCTTCCAAATCAAGCAAGCTTTACATAAAAAGTGCTACTACTTCCAGGAATGCATGTGCATGTGTTCAAGCCCATACTAGTTTTGTGGTAGCTAGTGGCTTATGGTTTCATTTTTCTGTGCAGAAACAGGTTGAAATTATAGGATGGGCATGCCATAGTGTGGATTTCTTGAAAGATCAAGATGTAATCAGGACTGTCCTTAATATATTTCAGGTATGTTTTATGACGAAGACAATTTTTTCTTGAGTCAAAGAAATTACATTATTTGTTGTACTTCCAGAACTTGGTTCTCTCATGAGATGGTGCATTATTTTTTCTAAGCTGCTGCTTCTTCTTCTTCTTCTTTCTTCTTCTTCTTCTTCATTTATCTATTTAGTTATTTTCTTTGGAGGCAGGGTGGGTATTTTGTGTGTGAGTTGATGTGAAATTGGAACTACTTAGGGAGTCTTTGGCAACACATGCTTTATTATTTGACTTTGTTTTACTACAACAGAATGCACAATTTTTTAATTCTATTTTATTAAATTTTATTTATTGTTTTAGCATGGAGATATTTGAACATAATAATGATAATTTTTTTTGTCATCGAACATAATAATGGTGTTATTACAAAGAATTGTAGATATGCTTCAGATTGATAAGAAAAAATGTAAGTGTCCTTGTTATGTACT